TACTAATACTTTTCAAGATGGCAAGTCACGATTTGACACGACTTTTGACCCTTGCGGCTCCCCCAGAATCGACAGGTAGGAAATAGATCATCCGGAGCATTCTTGGTGGCAATCACTGATCGCAGTGAACAGTTTGTGCCCCTTAAACGCCGACAAGGCTGTCGAGGCCTGGGCTGCTTTCCCAATCTCACCTAATGATGTCGAAGGCATGCCGTCCATCTCTCTGGATATTCCCGATTTCGAGGGTTCAGCAACGCTTCGCCTCTTCGCCAACTCCAGCGAGACAGAGATTGGCTGTTTCCGGGCTGTCATGCACAACGGCAGGTCATTCTCACACCCAAATGCGATATCGTCTGCCTTGGGTGGTTTAACCGCCATAGCCATCCTATCCTCATTCGCCACTGCTATATATGGCGTCAGCATTCCTCACATCCGGACGCACTACGCTCACTCCTTCTCGGTTCTCATCATTTTCGAGGCTTTCCAAACGATATACTTCTCTGGCGCGCTATCTGTCAGCTGGCCCAGCGTTTTACCAGCCTTCTGGAGCAATTTCGCGTGGTCTACTGGCCTCATCTATAGCGAGTCGATAGTCGATTCACTTGCCAGCTTTTCTGGCATCAGCGGCAACGCCAGCCAGGTTGGCGGTGCTGGTTCTGCCGTCATCAATACCGAAGGTGGCCTCGTTCAACAGATCTACGGACGCTCGGTCGGATTGCTCACGCCCAAGAACCTCATGTCGCGCGCGGTGACGCCGTATAATGCGAGCGACCCTTACGACTACAAATGGGGAGGCAATCCCGTCACGCCGGGAATGCCACTGCCAGGTACTTGGCAAGGGTTCCCCGGCACCTTATCAATGGTCGAGATTCCAGCCGCTGGTGCCTTCCTTGTCGCACTCATCTGGTGGGTTGTAGCCATTGGTCTGGTTGCTGCGTTTGTCACCGCATGCAAATTGTTGCTCGACTTCCTGGCTGCTACGAACATCATCAAGGCTGATCGGTTCACCTACTTTCGTTCCCATCTACCTGGTTACTTAGCGGCCAGCGTCCTGCGCACGCTCCTCATCGCATCGCCCGCCTTGATCACTCTCGCTCTCTTCCAGTTCAACATCAAGGCACCCGCAGGCCCCGCGGCCATAGCCGCCATCATATTTCTCATTTTGCTTATAGGCATGGGTGGGCTCGTGACATATGCTTGCTACTTTCGACTCCGTTTCGGCAAATATGAGACCGGTCCTGACACTATTGTTTTCGAGAAGGGAACACTTTTCAACGTTGTGCCGTTCATCGCAGCCACACGCGCGAGCAATCTTGAAGAAAAGGAATCGAGTGTGAAGCGGTACGGATCGATGCCTTTCTTCCGCGTGCGCTTCATCGACGATGATCCCAACAGGACAACCGTTCACAAGGATGAAGCCTACATCAAGCGATTTGGCTGGCTGGCTGCTCATTATAGACGGAGTAGGTGGTGGTTCTTTGCCATTTGGTTCAGCTACCAGTTAATCCGAGCCTGCTTCCTCGGTGGGGGCGTTCGCAGCCCCCTGGCCCAGGTCTATGGACTGTTCATCTTCGAAATCATCTCGTTCGCCCTCTTCATCAAGCTCAGTCCATATGAAGGTCGTCGAAATTCCACTGTGGCCATTTGGCTGCTGGGAGTTTCCAAGATTATCACAGCTGGCTTCTCGATCGCCTTTCTCCCAGAGTTCGGCATCGGCCGTATCCTATCCACCATCCTTGGCATCTTCATCATCGTTGTCCAAGCCTTCCTGGTGCTAGCCGTTCTGGCACTGGTGATACTTGGTGCTTTTTCCTCCTGGATGTCCCTTCACCGCAATCGCGAGACCTTCAAACCAGAGAAGCTCGACGGCATCCGCATCCAGTACTACGAACATATGCAGAACACGGCCCCTGATATGCCACCTCCACCAAAAGCAGACGCCAGCAATACCGAGGCAGTGGCGCAGACCTTCCAGGTCAACGACGTGCGACGAACGCGCAAGATCGAAGACGAAGATGATGAACTCACCGACCTTGAGGGGCCAAGTAATAGCTCTGCCATTCAACTAGGTCCAATTAACCGATCCAGCCGGGCCAATAGCGTCAGCTCCCGCTATTCAGTAGGCAGCCTGCCTCGGCGAGCGAGGCCGCACCGCACGTCTTGGAGTGCCAAAGATTTCGCCGAGTGGGACGCCCAGTCCGATCGCGCACTTGCACGTCCAGAGTCGCTGGTAGGCGGCAGCACCAGACCTCTTCAGGCGCACAATCGACAGCGGAGCAGCTCTCTGAGGCAGATTGCCCATCTCAATTCACAGGCGTCATTGAAAATGCCACAAGACATTCCAGAATTGCCCAGGACATCCTGCGAGGCTCGAAGGCCCATGACGCCGACGCGTGAGGTGTCCGAAGACAAACTGGAGACCCTGGAGACGCTTCACTCCGAGAAGGGGAAGGATAAGGTCGCTGATGACGACTCTGATTCCGCGGATGGAAAAAGCAAGACAATTCCATTTCCGCCTCTCCCTGAGCACGACGAGGACAAGCTCTGAATAACTCTCAGTACCGTCTTCTGCATATATGCTAGGGGGGCACTCGGATGCTGCTAACGATCTGCGGGCGCCCAAGTAGAGTCGTACGACACCATCTATGCCGTGCTCTCTGCGTCTTTTCTTTTCTCCTACACGCGCGAATAGCAGCACTCGAGGCTGGCCTTGAATGACAGCTTTCCTTGTGGCCACCACGGGTCAACTCTTCTGTGGCAATGGTGGTCACAATATTTACGACACAACATGAAATCATGGATCATGAGGCGTTTTAAGGTTTTGAAGAGTTGTCAATTTCTGAGCTCTTTGCATCGTCAGCACGAGCGGCTGGCTCTATCAGTCTTGTCTCATGGCCGCCGATGGACGGGCACACATGCGAGAAAAGCCCAGTCGTCTTCCAGGCCCTCTTGTCTTTTTCTTTTTCCAGCATTTCCAATTGTACTCCATCGTACTTGATGTATGATTGTCTGGCGTTTCTCGATAGATCATCAAATACGCTTTAATCACATTCCATATCACAAGCTTGCCCATGGCAATCAAGCATGAGTCCTCTTGCATTGGCGATTAGAAACCTGTCATGACTTTGGTTTGTGCATGTAAACGATCCCTTTTGGTATCCAGACATCCTTTGGTTGTGTCATTGTTTTCAATTTTGCTTCTGTGTATTTTCTCCTCCATAACCAGGATGAACATGCTCAGATGTAACCCTTGAGCACGGCGGCCTCGGCGTTGAGGATGCTGGAGCCGGCCGCGCCGATGACGGTGTTGTGGCTCAGGGCGACAAACTTGACGTCAAAGATGCCGCTCTCGTCCTCGCGTACGCGGCCGACGCTGACGGTGTAGCCCTTGCCGAGCTCGCGGTCGAGGCGGGGCTGCGGCCTGTCGGGGGCGTCAAAGACCTCGATGGCGGGCTGCGGGGCGCTGGGGCAGCCGAGGGTCTGGGCCTCGCTGACGTAGGAGCGCAGGGCGTCCTTGACCTCGTCGGCGGAGGGGGGCGGGCGGCGGGCGAAGCGCAGGGAGACGCAGGCCGTGTGGCCGTCGAGGACGGGGACGCGGGTGCAGGTGGCGCTGACGCGGAGGGCCGACTGCTCGTGGACGGCGGTGCCGTCGGTGGCGAGGGTGCCGAGGATCTTCTGGGCCTCCGTCTCGAGCTTGTCCTCCTCGCCGGGGATGTAGGGGACGACGTTGTCGAGAATGTCGAGCGAGGACACGCCCGGGTAGCCGGCGCCGGAGACGGCTTGGAGGGTCACGACGGAGACCTGGTCGACGGGGCCGAAGCGGGCCTGCAGGGCGGCGAAGGGGATGACGAGGCCGATGACGGCACAGTTGGAGTTGCAGACGAGGAAGCCCTTTTCGAGGCCGTGGTGTTTGCGCTGGTGGGGGATGAGGTCAAGGTGGGAGAGGTTGACGGTCGGCACGACGAGGGGCACGATGGGATCGCGGCGGTGGTTCTTGGCGTTGGAGAAGACGGGAATGTTGGCCTTGAGGAACTCGGTCTCTGGCAAGGGGGGGTGGTCGTCAGCACAGCGTGTCTTTGCATAGGTACGTTAGAAGGGAAGGGCAGAGGCAAGGGACGCACCAATGTCGCCAGCGACATCCGAGTCGAGACCGCTGAAGACGACGTCGCAGTCGGCAAACTCAGAGGCCTTGCACTCGCGCACGACGAGGTCGCCGACGGCGCCCATGGGGGTGGCCTGCTTCCATTTCGCGGCGTCGCGGTACTTTTTGCCGGCGGAGCGCGAAGAGGCGCCAACGGCGACGAGCTGGAGGTGGGACAGCTGGCTGAGCAGCAGAATGAAACGCTGTCCGACGGAGCCTGTGCATCCAAGGACGCCTGGGGGGAAAAGATACAGGTCAGCCGTTGTTCGTCACGCTATCAGTCACGAGCCACGTCCTTGTGCAAGGAACACGGCAGAGGCGATGGTTTGTTTGACATACCGCACTTCTTTGTTGGGAACTCGGCCATGATGTACCTTGATCTCTCGACGCTGTGTGAGGGGGGATTCTGGTCGTTGTTCGTCAATGGCAAACAATCACCTAAATATGGCTCGAGGGGGATTTCGTCCTGAGTCGGCGAGTAGTGTGAGTCAAGTACCACGAGGCAAGTACCAACACCACACCCAATGGCCCGAACCAGCGACACCATTTCAGCGTCCGGGATCGGCCACCCCGCCAATGCCCCTCTGTGCCCCTCTGTGCCCCTCTGTGCCCCGCCATCGGAGTCGCTCCAGGGCCCTTGCCTTGGGAACTACGAACGTACCTATACATTTCAGTTGTGATAGGCCAATTGCTGGAGACCACGACATGTCACACAAAGAAGCCGGCAAGTCTCAACAGCGAAATGCATTTCCTTACACAGAGCACCGTAACAGGCACAGTAGGTATCACAGCTAGTGGAAACCGTCAATTGGACGACCAAATGAGCAAACAAGACAGCCATCGCTTCTGACACACTACATTACACCTTCTCTACCTTCTCCTCCGAGCCCGACTCCTCGCTCCTCGCGCCGTTGAGCTTCTTCGCCACATCAGAAGTCAGGTACTTCTCCATGTTGGGCACTAGGACAGAGCTGACGAGCAGAATGAACGAGAACGGAATCGTCGTGTAAAAGACCATCTTGAAGCTCTCCGTGTACGCCACCCTTGTCGCTGCGCCGACGGCCGCGATGACCTCGTTCGTGATGCCTGGCACAGCCGAGAAATCGCCAGCCGCGATGGCCGCGAACAGCGCCGTCAGCGACGTCTCTGGGAGACCCGCTTGCGTGGCGGCTGGCACGACGAGCTCGGGGAGCTTCTTGCCGAGTTCGTTGTTGAGAACCGAGCCGTAGAGGGCCTGTGCGATGGCGCCGCCGAGGCCGCGGATCGAGCCCAGGATGCCGGTTGCGAGGCCGATATCTTGGGCTTCCCAGACGAGAGTGACGCCGGGGAAAGAGATGTTCTCGATGAATCCAATCGCTGAGAGGGAAGGTCAGGTTAGCCTGGGACTGGGCCGGGCTCAGGGAGGAGGGCACGAAGTGGCTTACCAACGCAGACGATTGTGCCTGTGGCAATAGTCACGGCCCATCTATCGGGAGAGATGGCGACCATGGAAGTCATGAAAGCCAACGAGATGGTTGCCGCGATGATGCACTGGTACTTGACCTTGGGCACGTAGGAGATGCAGAACCCGGCGATTGTCTGGCCGAGAAGCACGCCGCCCCCCACGACGGAGCTCTGCCAGCCAATCTTCATCGAGTCGGTCGTGTACATGGTGCCAATGATGACGGGCCACAGCACAGTGAGCGAGTAGTAGACCATGGATCCGATGGTGGCGACGACGACGATGGCGTCGAATCCAATATTCTTGAACATGCGCGGGGGCATCAGGGGCTGCTTCTTGCAGAAATAACCCTCTTTTGGAACCTGGTCAGCATCGATAGGGGTAGCACGGGGGCACATGGAGGACACATACCATACACAACAAACGACACCATCAAGGCGAGACCGATGAGCAGTGTGCAAAGCGTGGCAGCGCTCGCCCAGGGATGGGCCACACCGCCCCAGGAAAGGCCGATCAGGAACAGCACACAGCCAGACACGTAGAGAAAGATGCCGACAAAGTCGAGGTCCTTGGTCATCTGCCACCTCGTCTTGCCCTGAACATGAAGCTGGCTATACGTCGGCGGGTGGTAGAAGAAGTAGTAGAGCACGAGGGAAGCGGCGCCGAGTATGTCGCCCATGAAGTAGCTCCATCGCCACTTGGAGGACGTATTGTTGAAGAGTGAGCGCGCAATGACAGGACCGAAAACGGCAAAAGGGAGAGACGACAAAAAGACGATGGTCACGATAGGACCTCTCATCTTGTTGGGCACGAGCTCGCCGAGAACGATGCCGAAGGAGAGCTGGCCGGCGGCTGCGATGCCGTTGCACACGTTGGCGGCGATCAACGTCTCGACGTTCTGTGCACAAGATCCGATGATGCACCCCACGAGACCGAGGACGGTGGTGCCGAGAACCATCCACCTGCGACCGTACATGTCGGAGAGACGTCCAAAGAGGAGGAAGCCGATGGAGCTTCCCATTGTCCAGAGAGTGGCCACCCAGCTGATGTTGACCGAAGGGCCGATATCTGCATTGATGAGCAGCCTGGACAATGTGTCAGTAGTTCGTCTTGATGGAGAACGAATGAGTAGTCAAGATGGGTATGCATACAGGGTATTTGCGGGCAGGACCCAGCCCAAGTACGCACAGATGCTGCCGAGACATTGAGCCTTGAGGATTCGCTAAGTATCAGCTAAGATCATTGTAAGTGTTGAGTTGAGAAAGACAAACCACCACGGTCCCGATGAAGCTGGCGCTGCGGAAGTATCCCTTGGGCATCTCGTCGTACTCTCCGCCAATGGCTTTGGCATCGATAAAGTCGACAGTGCCATCCGTGTGGACAACCTTGGCCACATTGCCGTCGTGTTCGAGGACCTGACGGATGTCGTTGCCGTCGGTCTCAATGTGACGAGTATGGGACTTGCCATCGACATCAGTCCGTCCATCGGAAGACATGATGGCGGATGAAATTCGGACGTGCACACGACGGAAGTGCGTCAATCAGGCTTGCTTGCTGGAGTGTAAAGGCAGTGACGATCGGTCAGATCCAAGGATATGAATGTGCTAGGCGGACATAGTGCTGCATGACTTCCCCCAGGAGAACAGGAAAGGGAGAGTATATGTATAGCACGCACGTACAGCACGAATGGAAGATGCCACCCGGGTCGATGCACACCCAGCCTGGTGTAAGCAAGAAGCTCGAGGTTCCGGATCCCGGGAAGTGCGGAGGGGACACAATCGCGTCCCCGCGAAACCCCAGATGACCCCAGACACTAGCTATGGGAGGGGGGAGGCAGCTGGAAGAGCTAAGACCAGGAAGGCATGGTCAAGGTTTTGGCGTCCCATGTTCTGGGGACGCGCACGAGGCGCTGGCATGAAAAGACTCTTGTCTGTTCAGGGCGGACTGTTCGTAACATGGGTATTGACCTGGAATGCGCTCTGGACATGTTGCCCAATTCTGAGCATAAAGATTATGACGACAATGCTTAGTAGACTGTTGCAAGGTGTTGAGTTCTTCATGGCTATAACGTTGACTGGTTCACTAGGTACGCTCCCAAAAAAGCACCTCTATCGGCAGAATTGACTATGAGCCGTGTCCCACTGCTGTCGCTGTCAGGCCTTCATCTCCCTCCAGCCATTGCGAAACAATCCTCACTCGGTGGTGTATCGTGGAAGAGAGGGGGAGGGGGCTTGTCAGTTAGCTTACATCCTTCTCGAGTTGGCACTGAATCGCGAGCAGCACACGTAAGGTGAGGACTCAAAGACCTCCATGACTCGAAAAGATTCAGGATTGGGCGACTTGAGCCGTGCCCTGAAGCGAAGCTGGGCAAAAAAGACAAGGGACACACGGCGAGGGTAGGCTGGAGAAGGAAAACGATGTCCGGGACTCAAAAGGCTGGGGACCGGGCAGGTGTACCCACTCAGACGCCGAACACGGTACTCGAAGGGTACTCAATCGAGGCCGTCAATACAGTGGATCACTTGAGTCCCCCCAAGTCTCTTCAAGGGCGTAGGATATCTTACCCGCACATTCTCCCCAGTCCTCGTCCCGCACTCACGAAGCCGAGTTGGTCAGGCACCCAACGCCATCATGTAGACTTGACCGATTAGGAGACAGGGCGCCAACTCGACGTTCCTTGTCACTGCTAGCTCAGGTGTTAGAAGGGTTTCCGCCGTATTCGGCTCTTAAGCCACATCGTGCCATCCAGCACATGGCATCGCAAACTCAACCACCATCAGACCAATCGCTTGAATTCCCTAAAGGACGCTTCCTTAGACAGAGCGACAGCCATCGTAATATCCATGAGATCTGCGGTGTCAAACTCGGGGCTTCGTTGTATTGACATGCCTTCGAATCCATGAGATCACATTACTGCCGACCTCTTGTTCTCGGCTGGATTTTGCCGCATGTGATATGCCCAGAGGTCCAGGCGGTACGGCTAGACTCGCTGTCACGCAAGAAGGACGCATTATTGATTTCAGCCTAGGAGTGATAACTTTACGAGTTCGCGAGGACCCCCGAATTTTCGTACTGTCACCTGCCACCCATTGGTCCTGCTTTGACGACCAATGATACATGATCCTTCATCCGGGGTTCGTTGTCAAAACGGAGCAGGGTCTCTAGACATCAAAGAGACAATCCACATTAACCATCAAGGGATCATCTAAAGAACATGCTACGAGATAGAACGGATAAGATTGGTGCCTTGGAATAAGAACCTGGGCCGTCTGCCCTTTCGGCAGCTTGGTGGCCGAGCGCTAGGTTCAGCATGTTGACACTCCAGTAAAAGCGAGATACAAAGACTCAAGATGCTTCGGTATACTTCCCGAAAACTGGTGATGTACCGAGCTGATCTTGGCGCCTACTTGATGATCCCAGTGTCGAACCACTGTGGAGATGGAATACGTGTGAGCTTCTGCCCAGGTGCATCTACAACATCGTCTTGTCCACAAGCGAGGAAAAGCCGTAGCAAGATGTCTTCCGTTCCCAACCATTGTTCTGTGTCAGCGCAGCGGCCTCGAGTTTCAAGACACTAGGAGAACGATATCCCTTGGTGTGTCGAGGATGGTGTTGCCTAACTACCAGTGACATGTTACGGACCAAAGGAAGCTATGAGCACGACAGTCCACGACTTCTGTCTTTGTTTCAAGGGTGGCACCGAGGAAGTGATCTCATATCAAGTAATTCACACCTATAAAGTTTCTCGGCTTGTCCCGGTGCTCCATTACGAAGTGTTTCTTCAGGCTAACGTAGGGTGCCTCGGGCGCAAGCACCGCGTCAGCACCCCGTCTGATCGCTGGCTGCAGCAATCTTCCACACCCAACCCTAGGCATTCTGAAGCGTAGCCTTATCCGCACCTCTCGAGCGCCTTTTAGCAGGGCCTCGACCGGTCTAAACGCAGCGTCATTGTGCGGGCCTTGGCTGAGGCGTGGCTGGCCAGCTGTTGGAGCGTAAGAGAGCAGTCTTTCAGGGTAGTCTATCAAGATCATATCCTTGACCTTGGAGTGTCTAACGCGCTCCAGCTCTTTGCTCAAACAGTTGACTGCAGATAACGAAGCCACGCTGGATCGAAGCCGCCCATACCCCCGGAGCTCGGTCTGCAGTACAGCCCCTGAGCCGCATTACCCTCTTGGTTATCCTTTTCCGCTCAACACTTGGTGGAGACGGCCTGACCCTTACAGACTCCTTAAACTGGAAATGGCAGCGATGTCGCATCCGAGTGCGTATAATATTCTGAGGATGGGTCTCGATGGCTAGTAAAACCATGTACTGCCATTCCTCGCACCTCTTAGCAGACGCACTTGACATTCGCCCTGACCTTACAGAAGTTGAACGACCGCCCGGTTTGTAACATGAGTGAAACTAAATCGCCAGGCAACTCCTGACAGCTCGCCTTTACATCCCATCAAGTCTGTTGGCGCGCTGATCTGGTAGCAGTCGAAGGACCATGACCGGGCGTCTCTTCGACAAATTAGCATGGACATCCCCTTGAGATCCAAGGCTTTCCGAGCCTTCTTTGACGTGCTAATGAACCCCCATCGAACAGCAGCATGTTGAGGCACATCGGGGGTGGTATTGTGGAGGGCCTACAATCGGATTCATAAGTGAAAGTAATCCAAGACTGTCGTGGACTTGTCGAATTGAGTGATGATGCAGAGAGGCGTAAGCATGACCAACCGAAAAATTGAAAGGCCATACCCGATGCAGGGTGCCATCAATGACACAAAAAGCGAAGTGAATATATGATATTGGGCAGCTCGTGGTCTACGCGCGAGGTCAATGTATTGTCACAACATGTCTCTCTCCGTTCCAGTAATCGCGAACGCTAGATATTTGATAATATTGGTGAGCTCCATAGACAACACGCGCCATTGATTCTGCGTCGTGGTCTGGACAACTACCTTAGCGTTGTAATGCAACGACGTAACCAATGCTATTGAACAACTCTGGTGAAAATGTCACCAGGCCAGCCTCGGATGGCGGGCAGCCAGCCGGGTAGCGTAAGCCTTGCCCAGACGCCAATAAATGCAGCAGCCAGTCTTCTCCATGTGATGATGCCAAAGGAACAAGAGGGCGATGATTGTCATACCCATTTCATTACACCGTAGCTCGAATTCTTGCCCTCCTGTCCAATAGGGGGTTGTGAAGGCATATACTTCCAACATGGACTGTCCATTCGAGAATCGATCAAGCAGTAAACGCTCTCACGCCGCACTCGCCAGCGTGGATGTGCGTTCGGATGCGTACAAGTGAAACTGTGCAAAGATAACCATGTCCTCGGCGATGGTACCGAGGGACCCAACCAACCACGGCAGGGCCTTGAGAAGATAGTGCGGGTCCTGTGAGTACGCGATCAGACTGGCGCCGTATGAAAGGTTGCCCGTCAAGGACAGGAGGAAGAATAGCAGAGCGAGTCCTTCGCATGACTTTTCGCGGTAGTTCTTGACAATCTGGGGAACGCGTGCGCTGAGAGCAGTGAGTTTGTCTGTCCTTGGCAGCGCTGGCTCAGGGAGGTTGACTTACAGGAGGTAGCAGACAGCGCTGAAGTAGCCGAGGGCCAGACCGACCTTGGCCATGGTGCCGTCCTCCTCCGGCGACTGGGGGTCTGACGATCCATGGTCGGCATCCCAGGCGCCGGCCTTGTATGAGATGAACCAACCGGCAGCACCGACAAGCCACACAGCAAGGAGGCTTAGGGTGTTGTGCAGCCAGGGGTTGCTGTCGGGCGTATCGTCCTCGCCGGTCACGATCTTACGCAGCGGCTCGAGTGATGTTTCGGTGTGGACTTCGTGGCGCCTCTGCGACCCAGGCAAGCCAGTGGAAGATGTGCGGCGGCGCGACTCGTTCAGTAGAGGATCTTCCTCCCCTGGGGCATGGTCGTCTGTGGCGCGCGGCTGGCGGTGACGCGAGGAGCGGCGAGCATTCTTCGCGTTATAATACATGGATTGGCTGATCAGGACGATGTCGGCAATACAGAAGTAGAAGGCAAGGGCGACAGCGCTCGGTGCGAGATGTGTGAACAGGGCGCCTATAGTGTTGCTCAAGTTAGCGGTGTGTTCGCGAGCTGGACGTATCAGATTGAGCCTGTGAGGATGGCCTTGCCATTTTGGGCAGTACAGGCCGTGAACTCGCGATGAAAGATCGCGAGAGGGCAGGGAGGCATGGTAGGTTCCACGAAGAGCCATGAGATGTATTGCGGGGGCACGAACCAACGAGGTTGGTAATATCACCAAGCAGCCAGATGAACAGAAAGCCCATTGAAAGGCCATCGGCACTCTGCGCCCTGTAATTGGCGATGAGCTGGGGCAGCTGGGAACAGCGTCAGTCCGAGAGTCGTGCATTGGAGGGTCTGAAGCTGTGGCGGGCGAGGAGGGGTTACCAGAAGGCAGATCCAAGCTGTCAGGCTGATGCTTCCAAATATTCCAGATAAGGAATCGCGAACCGTGGGCGTGTG